TTTTTCTAAACGACACACTTAAAATAAGATATTTTGAGCTTAATTCTTGTTTGTCATTTATGATATGACACTGGGCAATTTATTTAAATTGTTTAAAACTCAGAATTCTAATCTGAAAAATAAATCATAATAATATAGTATTATTCTTACAGAATTGTGAGAATTAAATAAGGCAATGCCAATAAATGTCTCATCATGATATTTGTAATTGAATAGCCTCTCAAAAATACCAGTAGTTACTAATACCATCCTGGTGTTGATCCATTATAAAATACTAACCCATCGGCATCAACTACTAAGGTAAAAATTGAAGTTTCTTGATTGCTTTAGTAATTATTCTACATACAGGCTTCACAGTGGCGTTGGCCGCTACCAGCTGATCGGCTTGGGCTCCGGGGGCGCACGCGGCGGGCAGTGCACCCGGCACGTCAGCGCTGGCTCTGCGACCCCGACACCAGGCTCCCGGCAGCAGCTGGGCTCCCTGCCGGTACTGAGGTTTCCATGGTGGACGGAGAAACTGCAGAGACTCAGGATCTCAAACAAGCATTTCCTCAAGGAGCTGACGTAATAATAAACTGAAAGCAAAGATGAAGAGACTTGGAACTTCAGTTAGTCAGCTCCTCACAGACTATTCTGTGATCTGCTGTGAGTTTTCATAAAACCTAATTATAACCCTCAGAGAATCCGGAACTCGCGTCCTGAGGACAAGTGAGCCACTTCGGACTCTGTGACTGACACCAGACTAGCAATTTACCCAAAGGAGCAGGTAACGAGGAAGACCCTCTCCCTTTCCACGAGCACAGAAGCAGAATGCATCTCCCTTCGCCCTGGAGGCGAAGCACCGCCTTCACAGGAGGCCGTGGCCATTTGTGGGCAGAGGTACATGAGCGCCTTGGCCATCGACGGTGGGTCTCTGGGCAGAACAGGCTTGTTTAGACAGGGCCGAGGGTGACAGCACGGACTGGCCCTTCTGGTTCAGTCCCTTCGCTGGGAGGATTTGTCACTTACGTGGAAAGGTAGGCCATAGGGATGACCACAGAAAATAGCTTTGGGGAAAGCAACTACGAAATTAACCCGTACCAATACGTAAACGACTCTCTCCATACTGTCTCCAAGAATCACAGGGAGCTGCACGCCCCCAGCCCCCGGGGGAGGTGCCTTCCCGACAGGGAGCAGCGCGTGGGGGCGTCTTTTCATCCTTCACTTGGCATTCAGTTAATGCAACTTGAACGAGCAAACGCAGAGCTGGCATTTGGGGATGTATAGCCAAGCGAGGTGCGGCGTTCATGGGAATGTGAAGAGACTTTAGAGACAGAGGCCGATGGGGAAGACAAGTTCGGCCTGACCGAGTTAAGCTCCTCTCGTTTCAGCTGCGTCATTTCATTCTTTTCTCTGTTCACGAACATAAACTTGTATAATCTCAACAAAATATACAACGTGCCATGGATTCATGCTGCAGAAAGCCTTGTTTTGCCTCCAATAATGCTCGTAACAGGTGCAGTTCTCAAAGGAAGACCTATATTTCAAAACCAGTGGAGAGCTGTACTGATACAGCACCGAACAGAAATCTACCCCTGCTACGATTGTCAGCAGTATGCGAATAATATATTTATAAACGTAGCTTTAAAATACTAAAATGAGTAATTTTTCTTTTTTATAGAAAAATATGCCATGCTCCACCCAAAGATGTTCTTAAATTTAGTGGTGTTCAACACACATATTTTAGATACTAAAATCCTTTCTCCAATTTAGACAAGCCTCTTTGTATTTATAATATTTCCTTAAGTATTTTGATAATAGTCATACTAATTTATGACTTTCATTTCTGCTTTTGACGACTACTTCATTATTTTATACATAGTAACTTTCATATAAATGTAGATCATTTTATTTATTGTGTGCAATTGATCTAGTTTTAATGGTTCTTAGTTTTCCATTTATACAATGTTTCAAAAGCTAAGCAGCTATTCTGTATTAATTCACAATGTCTTTGAATATATACATGCAAATGAGGAAATGATATATATGTGTGTATGAGTAAGTATATATAAAGTGACAGACTAATTAATATTTATGAACATATTTGCAATGATTCAACACAGTAGTCAATCCCAGAAAAAAAAAAAATGGTTCTGTTTTATACTCACCATAAAAGGGCTTCTTTTTTGCTCTTATTTTAGGACCTGAGTCACTAACCCCCATGGTCATTGTTTCATTCATTGTTTTGAACAGTGTTGGTTTCCAACAGCCAGCAGGTGGCCGACAGCTTAGGCTTCTGCTACCAAACGAGCGGCACACAGCCCTGGGAGAGACATAAAACAAGAAGTCCTGCTTCTCCCTGGGTTGATCAAAAATAGAGAAAAGTATTGAATCGCTGAAGCTCTCTTTTTTGAGCTGCCAGATTTTCTTCCTCATGGAGCTTTGGCAAAGTGTTTGCTGGGTGCCTTATTGGCACCTCAGCTTTCTCATTCCCCTGACTGTGACGCCTTTAGATGTGGTGACGTGTCATGTTCATCTTTGTCTCCTGCGCCGGTGAACTCTCCTGCAGAGACTCATAACTAGCACTGGGGAAGTCTTTCTACGCTGGGGAGTAAATCACGCTACTAACTACTAACTCATTTCTGTTTCACTTGTTTTCTTCCCATGTCCACTACTATTCCATTTTTCACATTTAGAAATCGATATATCTGCTTGTTTTCCCTCCTGCTTTGACGGGTAAGGAGCAATGGTGCCATAGACTAGAGCATTTGTAAAATTCAGATTCCTGTATCACACACATGCCAAAAATAACATCTCCTTGAGTTGATGTTGTACCAGACATAGTCCAAGCTTCTCCCGGATTCCCTTGGCCCTGAGAAGCCGGGGTCCGTGCCAACATTGCCCATGTCTTACTACTAGCAACTGTCTCAGGCTGTCTGGGGGCAAGGACCAGCCTCTCTACTCCTCACCCATGGCCAGCATCGACATCGTGGGGGTTGCAGACATCCCAGTGCCCGACAGGTTCAACCTGCTCATGATACCCTGACTTTCTTTGCATCTGCAGGAGTGGGAGGCTGGGGTGAGCACTGGGTGAGGAAGGACTGAGGAGGGTGAGTAGCCCAACCCCCATGTGCAGGACCATTAACGCGGACCAATGAGGAGCAAGGTGGAGGAAGAAAGACTTCAAAGTTTCAGGGATTTGACAAGGACTTTTCTAAAGACCTGCGTGCAGTCTAGCCTCAGGGTCTTCCTACTTATAAAACCCTGGCCAGCCTGGCCAGTGCTATCTTTTATTCCCTCCTTTCCTGCCTCACTTTCTATGAGTCTCCATAAAACACTGGTGCAGAAGCTTTGCTCCCATTTTTTATGAGAATGCAGGCTAGTGAGTACATAGACTATTTTTCAAACAAGGAGCTCAAGTGGCTATTACTTGATTTCTCTGTGCATGTGTAAGATTGTAGACCAGTACCACTCATACCACTCTCGAAGGATGATTTCCACTATCACACTTTTTTAGATGCATGACTCGTAGGAAGTGATTCTTATCTTTCATACAGCTAACCAATGGCAGTGCAGGGATTTACAGTGGCAGATGCTGGCAACCAATTAGATGTATATGTAGGGAACAGGAGAGGAAGAAGTTCAAGAGAACATGGAAGTTTTCAGTCCAAGGGACTATAAAATGATGGTCACACCAAACTTCAGACTGAAAAAGATGAGAGCCTAGGGGAGTATTTATAGCCTAGGAGCCCACTTAGTCCTCGTCATAGCTTAATAATGTTTCCTGCTCTTGGGCAGTTAAAAGGTAAAACTACCAAATTGTGATCACAAACTCTTCTCCATTAGCCCAAATCTGTGCACCTGCCTTGAAATTAAGTGTTACCCCTGGAAGCCCTTGCTACCCATGGAAATTGTCTGGAATTTGCCTCTACACTACCCTGTATAAAAGTTATTTTGAAAAACTGTTAGCTTGTTTATTAAGATGACTTCAAAAGTATATAGACAAACTGACTCATTAAACTAGCCCGAAGGGCTGCCCTTTCTGCTTCAGGGAAGTGGCCTCTGGCAAGGAGTTCTCTGCGGCTCCTCAAGGAGGCCTGGTGGTGAACAAGACTCTGGTCAGCACCCATCCTCCAAAGTGGGGAAGCCAGCCCGCTCGGTCTCCTCACAGGGTGATACCCATAGGAATGAGTGACAAGTGACTGAGACAGCTAGATGTTCCTCCTGAACACAAAGGGTTTATCAGGAAAAGGAAGCATTTCAGTCTGGAACTTGCAGCAGCGGTGAGCCATGAGCAAGCCCTCCAGCAGAAAGAGGGCGCTATTTTAGAGGGCGAGAGGAAGTTAGGATTATTACAACGGAAAAACTCTTCCTGTAGGGCTTTGTGAGAGATGTAGGCAAAAGAGCTCCCCCTATGGGCAGACCCTCCTGATTCCAAGAACAATAAAACGGGAAGGTTAGCACTTCAGGTGTGTGATGTGGCTTTGAGTAGTAATTAAGAGGAAGTGGAATAAGTATTTTTGACTGGTCTCTAGATCTCTTAATATACTAAAGTAGCCACCTACCGTTCAGAGAATCACCTCTGATTTTTTGGCAAGCACCATGGCAAGCGATCGGTTCTCTTTCGGACACAGTGCATCTGGCTCTGCAGCATAATGCACTCCAGTCCCTTTGCGAGCCAACGTCTTTAACGTGCCATGCACACACTGTTAGCACCATGAGACTGATGCTTACTGAGAGTGATTGGCTCCAAATTATGTAGTCACTGAATCTTTACTGTTTTTGTTAAGTATTTAAACTCATTAGTTGTTTAAATAATGGGTTTAAGATAAGGGTCATCTAGTTTTGATGGGAAAAGTCACTGAGTGTACTTTTTTAGGAATGTGTGAAAATGGAAACGTAACACGAGCAATCCTTTTAATTGCAGACTTTATGTGAGTGCATTGCTAAGTTCTTTTTTTTTTTTTTTTTTTTTTTTTTTCATAAACTTTATTACAGCCAAGCTAAGTTTGAAATCTTGCTTCAAAACATTGCTCAGTATTAACTGTCAGAAGATGTGTTACAGGATCACATGAGGAATTGTTAGGCAGGTGGCTGAGGAATGCCAATTACAGAACAAAGTGCTTCTCCAGAGATTGTTGCATCCCTCATAGGTATTTGGGGAAGAACACTATTAAGTATAAAGACAGGTCAACTTAAAAGTATAGGCATTACATGTTTAACTTATAAGCCATAAAAAAATGCATTAGAATAAAAACGTAATGAATTCATATCTCTTTTCAAAAGGAAAGCCTGACACAGAAGTAGCAATAAAGCTAATAAATGACAATCATCAGATGAAATAATTTGGAAGCAGCTTGTCCCTAAAATAGATGGGCCTGGACAAGTGGTTAGGAAGGAAACACAATGTGCTTTTAACGATTTGTGGAAAAAAAGTGTTCAGTTTCCTGTTGCCAAACAAAGTTCTGTTTTACTATATAAATTTTCTACTTTAATTACTGACCAAATGCTTTACTAAAACTCCGTTTCTGGCCTCTGTTTTGGAATCTGTTATTCCTGTTGCCACCTCCTGATCGCTGTCCTCTGAAGTTTCTATTTCCTTCCCGCTGTCCCCTGAAGCTTCTGCGTCCTTCCCGCTGCCCTCTGTGACCCCGACTGCCTTCCCGCTGGCCCCTGAAGTTGCAGTATCCGTCCCGCGGTCCTTCCAGCTCTGGTTGCTCTGTAGCCACAGAGAGTTGCCAGCGCCGTGAATCATGCCATTTTTCCTGTATTTCTGTTACTGCTGCAGTAGGGACATCAAAGCAAACACCCTGCTTTCCTTTAAGAAAGACCATTCCCTTCGCTTTGGAATCAATCTCTTCACCCAGTTGCTCTTTAAGTTCTTTCCAAGCATAACTAATGTTAGGCATTTCAATTGAGCACTTCAAGATCATGGTCACAAAGCCCACATCTGAGTTGATCAAGGAGCGCTGGTCTACAGATGTGGCACCTGAAATATGGGCCAGAGCTGCCGCGAGGGCTTCCACAGCCCCCTTCTCCTCTATCAGTTTCTCAGCGGATTGCTTAAAGTGACTAATAGCAGTGGGAGGAACAGAATCCAAAAGCCTGATGGCATCTTTGCTGGAAGCTTTTATTATCTCTGTTGCAGAAGGAACACCTATTCGTTTAAATTTAATTCCCGCTTTTTGCTCCACTTGTGCTAACTGATATTCTTCCTTGTGCTGATAGAAGCAGATGCAAATCCCAGTCCTTCCAGCTCTACCCGTTCGCCCAGAACGATGAATGTAAGACTCCACATCCTTTGGTGGAGAACTTTGTACAACCAGATCAACCTCAGGGATGTCTAACCCTCGCGCAGCAACGTTGGTTGCAACCAAAACTCCAAAATCACCATTTCTAAAACCTTTCAGGGTGATTTCCCTTTGCTTCTGTGGAATGTCTCCATGTAATGACTGGGCATCCAGCTTTATGGACCCATTCTGAGACAATTCCTGGGCTTCTTTCTTCGTTTCACAGAAGATGATGGTGCGCCCATGAAAACCACTGTACACTCGGATCACATCCCCAATAACTGCTGCTCTCTGGGTCCAGTGGCACTTGATAGCCAGATGCTCCACAGTTATTGCAGTTTTCTGAGTCTTTTTACCAATCAGGTCCACCTGTTCATATGTAGATTTCATGTATTTCTTAGCAACATTAAATACCCAATGAGGGCAAGTTGCAGAAAAGAGCAGTGTCTGGGGATTGTCTTCTGAATCTTTCTTGTATGCCACACTTAAAATCTCTTCCACTTGGTCAGCAAACCCCATATCCAACATCTGGTCAACTTCATCCAAGACAACATGCTTAAGTTTGGTGAGATCTAGCTTGCCATTCTGCAGGTGGTCTTTGATACGACCTGGCGTCCCAACCAGGATGTCAATCCCATTCCGCATACGTTCAATTTGACCTCCATAAGGAGTTCCGCCATAAAAACAAGCCACTGCCAACTTTTTGGTGATGTCACTGAAGTCTTTGCTTACTTGATTTGCCAATTCCCTTGTGGGTGCAAGAACCAGTACCTGAGGAGCACGGCCTCTCTTCCGGTCTTGCAGTTCTCCCAGAAGCTTCTCAATCAAAGGGATAGCAAAGGAGAATGTCTTCCCAGTTCCTGTCCATGCCTGTGCAATTAAATCTTTTCCACTATACACATGGTGAAATGTCTTTGCTTGTATAGGAAACAGGAAGGTCACCCCACGGGCTTTGAGAAGTTTAATCGTCTCTTCAGATATGGGGAAATTAGAGAAAGCTCCTTCTTTTTGTTCCACAGGTATCTCCTGTTCCAACTCACTGTTACTTTCTTCACTGGCAGCTTCGTTTGAATTAGAGTCAGGTCCAGAATCAGAGAATCCATTCTTTAGTTTGGAGCTTTTCTCCCCAATTTCTCCATTCATTTCCTTTTCTTTCTTCATCTTCTTGGGCTTAGGAGCACCTACTTCTTCTTCAGAAGGCTCCTCATTTTTTTTAACTTTTTTGGTTTTAGAAGAGACATCTTTCTTTTCCATGGGCTCTTTGGGTTTTTTTACACTTTTGGTTTTAGGAGAAATCACATCATCTTGAGAGGGCTCCTCTTTATTTTTTCCCTTTTTGGATTTAGGAGAATTCATGTCAACCTCAGAAGGCCCTGCTTTCTTTTTAACTTTTTTAGCTTTCGGGGAAATAACTTCTTCCTTTTCTTCTGGTGCCTCTTCAGTCTTATTAGATTTTGGCTTCTCTTTTCTACCTTTCTTCTCATTTTGTTTTCGCGGTGTCTCTACTTTTCCCATGGCTCCGTCTGATTCCAAATCGGGGTCACTAAGGAGTTTCCCTGGCATCGTTCAGGACAAGCTGTGCCGGCCGGCCGATCTCAACCACCGCGTGGAGAGGAAAAGAAAGACCTCGCTAAGTTCTTATTTAAAGGCATAGTCTATGTGGCTTCATTATGTATTTATATTTAAAAAATACAATTATTCTAATGCTACCATTTATCTGTGAAAACTACCTTGGTTCAAATTCAGCTACCGTTAAAAATATTTGCTAGGGAATTGTTTCCCTAGCAACAGTTACTATGAACATAGACATTTCATCCCTGTGCATTCAGCTCCTTTTCCAATCCCACAACTGGCGTAAATGTTCATGGGTGGCAGTAAGGTTGAAAACTCAAATTCAATACAGAATGACAAGCTCGAAGTGAAAATATAATCAGATTTAAATCAATGTTTATACTAACACATTGACTAGGGCAATTGAAGAGACTATCAGACAAAGTTGGAAAGGCGTCCAAGTGTCACTTATGGAGGTTGAAAATGACAAGCAAAGATTTCTCAATGCTAAGATCCCTGTGGGTCCACTGCTATAAAAAATAGAAAATACCAGCCAAGTTTTGGGGACTGTCAAACTTTTTCCATTTTTCTGATGATAAAAATACCAATTCTAAAGAAAAATATGTCTAAGAGCAGCAGTTCAAGAGATAAGAGGGGTCTGGTTCATGTACACTTTGAAAAAATCAAAGATTTTATTTAATTTTCTTATTTAGCCGATTTCTTAAACACAATTGAAATGAGACTACAACTGCAAATCACTCTGGCATTCACAGTTGGTTGACCCTGATAAGATATTAGGTTTCTAAAATGAAGCATAAGAACATCTCAGAAAAAGAAAAAAGAAGACGAAGAAGAAGAAGAATAGCAATCAGCAAATGAGTGTTTGTTAAATTACAGCATGAAAGAGACGAAGTCAGGGCTACAGCACCATCCTCAGGAGGAAAACCGAGCGGGTCCGCTGTTAGGAGTGCAATGCGAGGGCTGCCGAACGTGACCAGCGGCTCGCACCCGTGGATCCTGGACACCGCGTCACACAGTCTTTTGTCTGTTACTTATCGATCCATCCATTTATTCATTCAGCATGTGTTTATTGAGCTCCTGCTAAGTGCCACACCGTCCTCAGTGTTGGGTCAAGTGCGGTAAGCAGTTCTGAAGGAATGACAGCTCGGTGACAAGAAAGACGGCTCCGCTGCAGAAGAGGCAGCGCACTGAAGCAGAGGAAGGCGGCCCAGCAGTCAGGCACCTGAGCGCCTCCCTGTCCCATTTACAGCCTGTGGGACGCTGAACCCCCCCGGGTCTTCCAGTTCATTCTATTTGTTACGAGTGATTAGAGAGGCACAAAACCACGCGAGGCTTACACTCTCAGGCACAGCTTTCCGCCCCGTAAAACGTTCCGCACTCGTACACATAAGGGTCCCACTGCGGAGGGCCCCCCGGGGGGCCGCAGCCCTCTCCTCCCCACCCGCACCCCCGCCCCGCCTGCTCTGTCCAGCCGGGCCTTTCCTGCCCTGGCTTGAAGTCTAGGCTAGGTCCCACCTTCCCTGTGCTCTTTCAGATAAAGGATTTCTCCAATAACATTTTGTCAAGAAGCTTCTCATTTCATTAATTTTAAAATGTCTTGCTTTCTACGATAGGAAATTGTTGGCTGGCCGTTCAAATCCCGTCATGGGAAGGGGGCATGATGAGACCCGTCTGTTCCATCGTGCCTGGTGCTTCTTCTCCATTTTGACCCCCACCTGGACCACAGCCGGGTGCCCACTGAGCTGCGAATGGGGAAGAGGGAGAGCTGGGAACAAGAAGGGTCTGCACTGGCAGGGCCGTTCGGGCCACGTGTTGGTGGCCAAGGACATTCAGCCCTGCATCCTAGACGCACAAAGGGACCCATTCATTTAGGGACGTCTCCCAACTGCAGGTTTCCTCTCTAGCAGGCCACTTAGTTTCCGCCCTCAGCCTCTGTTCTTCAGAGTGTAGTCCCAAAAAGCTCCCTGTTTGGGTCCCATTACCCATCTCGCATCCCTGTTTTCTGCACCACCCAGTTCGGGTCCACAGGCATCTCATGCTTCCTTTCCACAGCCGGCTCTGGGGACGGCGGCCTTCCTGGCCCGGCCTCCTCTTGGCGGCCTCCCGGCGGCCGGCCTGCCCCACGGCGCTGCCTCGGTAGGACATTCACGATGCCTGTCTCTCAGACGGGGACGGACTTGACTAAAAATTATGGTGAGTAATGACCTGGACCCAGAAACTCACTCAAGTCAGAGTTACTCACCCAGTTAGGGAGGAACAATTTCAGGCGGCTGCTTATGGCCAAGTACCACAGATGGTTTTGAAAATGTCTCCTCCTAAAACACAGTCTGTCGCTTTCAAGGTAAATGAGTTCCCGTGGGCAAGGTTTTTAAATGAAATGCCCAATTTTTGCATTTTGAAGACAGACTCCTCATGGCTTGCCTGATTCCATGCTGCATCAAGGATTAAAAGATAGGGGCTTTGTTTTAAACTAGTGCTTCTCCACTGTCCAAAGCCGGGGGGCGGGGGTTGGGGGGGAAGAACCTAATTTCTAGTAGCAATTTTGTTTGGCTTAACTAGTACATAAAAAGCTGGAACAATAATGACATTGAAATCCAATATTGTTCCACTAAAACCAAAGGCAGCCTTTCCTAATTGTGGGCTGGACTCTGTGTTGTCAAGTCTCGTTTAATAAGATAGAGGCATCGAGGCAGATTGTCCCTCTATCTCCAGCGTTAATCTTAGTTCTGCTAAACCAGAAAAGCTAAAATGGATTTGCTTTATGAAATAAAATCCACTGCTTTCATAGAGCTTTCAAAAGGTTTTTTCATATTAGTTCTTCAAAATTAAAAGCAGTCTGATGCATATATTGTAAACACAGTGCCATTTCTGACAAGAAAACTAACATCCGGAGAATCATCACTATAGTTCAGGGCATCATTTGCTGAACAAAAGTAAGTAGGCAAAAAAAGCAAGAGGTTCTATACATCTTTCACACAAACCACAATAAATAGAGGTGATCTCGCTGTACAAGCACTGCCCCAGAAGGTAATCTGCTGTCTCAATTATCCAAAGATGTTCTCGAATTATGTTCTGTCTTCTTTATAATAAAAACATAATAAAAAGGGTATTACTTTATTCAGAGGGAGGGAGGAGAGTAAATATGTTTATATGCTTTTCAAAAAATTTTTAATCTTCTGCGTAGGCCTGCAAGTCTCAGTCTAACTGTATGTGATGTAAGTTAGCAGAAATCAGACACGAAAACCCTAGATCAGCATTCACACTCCACCCTGAAATATCGTCTGTTACATAATACTAATCAGGTACAGTCCAATTCTGCGCGAAGTGACTAAACATAGGCGATCCTCCCATTGCCCTTGAAAGATGACATTTGAACTGAAGGATCTGCTTGCCACAACAACATGCTTCCCAAAGCACCCAGGTGTGGATCCAGATCAGATAGTATCTTACAAAGGAGTTGTCATTTTTCCACAAGTGAACATTTACTGATCTGAGTCATCTAAACCTGGAGGTCACTTTGCCCTCAAATGCTAATAAACTAGAAACATTTTTGCCTTTCATTTTTTTCTCCTATATATATTATCTTATGTAATTTATGTGTGCATATATATATACATATATATTTATATAATATAAATATGAAAGCAAGAGCCCTGACAGGTAGCAAATGTCTCCGTCCTCTCTGAGCATTATGAAATCGCAGTGAGAGGGCACGTGACCCTCTGCGGGATGACCAACTTCTCAGAAGATCAGACCCGAGGCATTTGCTACCACCCCATCAGTCTGCTTACCTGTGCTCAAGCCTGCTAACCTTGTAACTGGAGAAAGAAGCAAGAAGTCACAAACACATGCAGAATAAAAGCCATCCCAATACCGTTAAGTTAACCAAACAATCTTAGTAGAGAGGTTTCAACAAAAAAAAATTTACTCAACTTTTTTCCAAATTAAATTTTTTTGGTGTGCGATTCCTTAGACTCCTTGCTGTTCTAGGTCACAAATGTGACTAATAAAAGATTCAAAGGAAGAACAAATAAATAAGACAGAGTCTCTGTCCTGAAGCCACTCACAGGCTTGGTAGGAGATGCAGACGCACAACAAAGCTATACGTAGTGATAACCTCTCAGAGAGAGAGAATGCGCTCCACGCAGATGGAGAAGCCAGCCCTCAAAAAGCAGCTGTTTGGCTGTTGGGATAAAACCACATGGCTGATTTTATAAGAATTACCAAATACGGAATAAAAGGTAATTTATAAAATATTTATTCTGAGCAAGTATCACATTAACTAAACAGTCCGGAACTCAAATCAAACTTTCTTTATGGAAGGAGCCATCATTGCAAACTTGTTTTCACATCTTCATTTTGTGGCTTTTTCATGTAAATGCAAAAATAGAATGGAAATTTCACAGTAGAAAATCAACAGTCTGAATTTGCATCGCTTCATAAATAAGTCAACAAAGGAAAAGAAAAAGCGGAAAGAGAGCAGCCTCCTTTCGCCCCTCACCCCGGGGCTGCATAGGACGCGGGGACCAGGGCCCTGCGGCCCTGGAGAGAGGTCCGCGCAAAGCGGCGCGGGGATCACGCCGGAGCAGACCCGGCCTGTGACTGGCCAGCTCGTGGGCCCCTGCTTCTTTGTCTGACTGGCATATAAAGTAAATAGAGGAATAAATAACAACATTCAGCCACACAAAATCATGCCTAAGATTTTCATAGGAAATCATTATCGCAAGAAAGGAAAACACGTGAACCGCTCCGCGATGGGCATGAGTCAGCATAATGGCTGCAATGGGGACTGCATGTATTGTATACGTGTGAGTCACTATCTATATGTACATAGATACACATGTACATACAGGGTCTGGCAGAAGGAAGGCCTGCCTGAGTGGGGCCGGTAGGGTAACAGTATGGGTGTAATAATTTATAGTTTTAATGTGAACATCTCACCTAAAATGTCATACAGTGTGTTTGAGTGTGATATTGTTATGTTACAGAATTACGTGCTTATGATTTTGTAATAAAAGAGTTTGTGATAAAAAGGGGCGTTATTTGTGC